GACATTTGCTGTTAGTTAATATATTTGTATATACTTGGGACTTGATGTGCCTAATATTGGGGAAAAAAAAGTGTGTGTGGGAGGGGGGGGGGGGCTCTGTCCCCCAATGAGAACGACATAAGAGACAACTAATTATTATACGATACGTCAGACTGAGAACCACAGATATCAAAGCCTAGCTTTAAACCACAATACACTGTGCCAACCCCCTTCTTAAGGCAGAAGAGGACGGCTGCTAGTTGCATATCCTTTAAAGTACCTTACAAACCAACCCCAGCATTCTTTGGCTGTTTATAGTTTTACTTTATGTGGCTAATGGCCGCCCCTATCTTTTGTTTGTTGATGGTAACTGTTTTTACTTTAACATTTACTTTCAGTAGTTTGCCTCTGCTTTCTCAACAATCGGTTCTCAACACCACTGTCAAAATCAGTGCAAAGCAGCCTGCTGCCAAACAGCTGGCAGCTAAAATCGAAGCGGGTATATCCAAATGATGAGAAAACCCTGGAAAAGATAGAAAGAGTAACGAGGATGTCATGATGGGAAACTGAGTCATGAAAAGAACTGATTGCCCACATAAAAAAAAGGCAATCTACATTCTTTGGTCATATGATGAGAAGGAGAAAACTGGATTACATCGTGACAGCAGGAAAGTTGTGGGGGGGGGGGGGGGGAGGAGAGGCAGATGGAGACTAAGACAACAGATGCTGCACAGTTTGACATCATGGCATGAAGAATCATCTGTGTCAGAGTTAACTGAAAGTAGATGAGACAGAAGGTTGTAGATAGACATGACTACCAACGCCACACGGCATGGACTTTAAGAAGAAGATCTTAGAATCAGAAACCCTGTTCACAACCCCTAAGCCACTCATATATCTTTATTTACTGCTGATCGGTTTCAAGTACTACACATGCTACCAAACTAGAGAAAAAAATAACAAACATATTCACATATTATTTTAAACAACACAAACAATATAGATAATGTACAATTGCAGACAAGAATACTGTTTAAAGATATATGAACAACCCTCAAATGAGAGGCTGTTCAAAAACACATTCAATTAATGTCCAAACTTTTTCAGCTAAAACTACTGTACACTGTACTGGAGTAAGAGAATCACTGGATGCATTTCAAATCTGCATGCACACCAAGATTTATATCATTCTTCACTTTTAAGACAAAGGGGAAAAAAAGAAACTGATGACATTCAAAATAAAAATATATGCAAGAAACTTCCTAGCAGATATGCCACAGGTATACACTTGACAGATGTCAGTTCAGAACTTTCTGAACCTTATCTGCAACAGGTTAAATCAGGTCATCATCAAGTGACTTGCACACTGGCATGGGCAATCCAGCATTTTCTAAACTTGCAATCTCCAACAATATACATCAGTTTACATGCGGACACCAGTCCATGCCATGACAAAAGTCTGTCAAGAATTTCCTTATGTTGTCTTTCTGTATCTCTCAGCCGTAAATCTTTTCAGTCATTACAATATTTCTGTTTCTTCTCACAACAATGCCAAAAACTCTCTCTTTCCAATATTTCAGACGAGCGCTTTTCAGACACTTGTCTTTTTTAAGACATCTGGACTATACATTCTGACTGTCCACTCTTGAATAACTTTGTATGTTGACTGCAGACATTTACTGGTAAGAACAGATCACACTTGGCCAGTGATTCTGTAAACTACTTCTAATTTTCATTCTCCCTACCTATGGTTTTCAGGTTAAAAGGTCTCAGACCTCTATAAAGTCTGTAGTGCTAAGCACGTCTTCCACTGTTGCACACAGCTTAGTTTCCACCGGAATGCCAGACCTGGAATCTCTCTCTACTGCAGGCTAGCCAAACCTAGAATCTCTCTACTGCAGGCTAGCCAAACCTAGTATCTCTCTACTGCTGACCAGCCAAACCTGGAATCTCTCTACTGCAAGCTAGTCAAACCTAGGAATCTCTCTTCTGCAGGCTAGCCAAACCTGGAATCTCTCTACTGCAGGCAGAGAGCATTAAGAAGCACATGTTCAGTATTCTGAGGCACCTTTTCATATCAGCAAATTTATGGATCCCCAATTAAAAATTTCTTGTACATATGGCTGCAGTCTGCTGGGTCTAGTACAAAGTGACCAATGATTTGATACATACTGGCAATTTTGTATATTATATTAGTAATTTGATAAATAGATGAATTCATAATAGATCAGTGATCTGGTATATAGATCACAGATTCCATACAAAGATCAGTGATCTGATACACAAATAAGTGATTCCGTGCATTGATCGGTGATTTCATTCACAGATCAGTGATTATGTAAATTGACTGATGATTTAATAGAAAGATGAGTGATTTATTACAGAAATAAGTAATCTGTTAGAGATGTCAATGATTTAATTCAAAGGTCAGTAATCTAATACAGAGATCAGTGATCTGATAGATTTCAATGATTGGGCTATACTTTGATTAGTGATTTATTACAGAGATCAGTGATTTTATATGCTGATCAGCGTTAACAATAACAGATCCCATTCTTGAGGCCTTATGTGATTTCCCCCGCTTATTTGCCAGCTGCCCAGATTTCACATTTCATTTTCCTATTGTGCCATTCATACAGAGGTGGCCACCAAAAAAATGTATACATAGTAATCGTCCACCAGTGGAATGCATAAACATTTTCATAGAGGCTCCTGTGTAAAAACATCATCGTTTCAGCTCTATACTCCACAGGGAGCATTGTAAGATGGAAAGTGGTGACTATATAATGGCATGTAATGGCTACTAACAGTGAGATGGCAAACACTATCAATTAAGGCACAACAGCAGGGAGATGTATTCTCAACTAATAGGTTGGACGCAAGAGTTATTTCCCAGTACCTGCTAAAATTACAGCAAATTTGTGGTTTCCTAATAAAAATTCCATACACATACCCACCCTCTCTCTCTCTCTTAAGTTATCCAAGGAATAAAAATATTCCTTTTAAGAATACATTGAGCAAAAACGACTTTCAACTTCACACTCATGGACAAGCACACACACATGAAACAAAAGTGCAAGGAAGAAAGAGAGTTTGAGATAGATTAAAAAGTTTCCCTCTGATTACGTACTGTGAACAAACATTTCATTGTGTGGGTTTTCTGGGCTCCATTTTGGACCACAGAGATTAAACCCACTGCACCCTTCACAAACATGTCATAGGAGGAGACTAGTTAGAAGTGTTTCCTTTAGAGTCAGAGTGCAACTGCCTGACAGGTAAGAAACCAACAGTCTGCATACAAATAAATAAGCGGATCTGTACCCACAAAACTCAAGTTCTGGATCAAGACTAAAGTTCAGGAGTGGATGAACAGCCAGAACTTTCCACCAGAGTTTACCGCTGCTGAACGATAACATGAAAAAGAAGTAGACGAACATAAATTCAGAGTTACAGAATAATAAAACAGACAATAAAAAAAAAAAAAAAAAAAATTTCAGACATAATACAGACATCACTGAACAGATTACTCACTGCAGACATCATCCAATAAGCTGACTTAGTTATGAGGCAGACAGCATAACAGGCCCATGAGACATCAGCAAAAACACACTGGGTATGTAGCAATGAATCTCACAGAAACATCACACTTATCAGTTTTATGCAATCCTTTCACTTCATAGACCCACCCAGTCCTGACTGGCCTATGAAAATCAGGTCTAACAATATATGCCCTATGTGTCAAAAGGCATGAAAAGTGTCAGTGACTTACCCATATGCCCCATGAAAACAAAACAAAAAAAGGTAGGTAGTGACAATCATATTATGTATAATGGACAATCCTGTTAGGTATAATGGTGATCATGATTTATAAAGAAACTAAAACACTGAGAAAATTTTCATTTTGTTTTACAGAGTTTTATCACCTTTTTCTTGAGTTCAAATGCAGAAACAGTCACCTTGATCACCCCTGCTGTGTTGTTATATGTGAGTAGAATCCTCCATTCCAATGCACACAGACACGTTTATGTCAGTGGATTCCTCTTATCTACAGATAGATACATTTATGCCAGTGGATTCTTCCATTCCAATCCACAAAGACACATACATGTGAGTAGAATCCTCCATTCCAATGCACACAGACACGTTTATGTCAGTGGATTCCTCCTATCTAATCTACACATACACAAATACATCAGTGGATTCCTCCAATCTACAGATAGATACATATATGCCAGTGGATTCTTCCATTCCAATCCACAAAGACACATACATGTTAGTAGAATCCTCCATTCCAATTCACACAGACACATATACATTAGGGTATTCCTCCATTCCAATCCACACAGACACATATACATTAGGGTATTCCTCCATTCCAATCCACACAGACACATATATGTCAGTGGATTCCTCCATTCCAATCTACACAGACGCATATAAGTCAGTAAAAATTAACAAGACTTTATCCAGATCACCAATCTGTGGAGAGACATGAATGCCTTCATTAAGAAGGCACATGATGATGAAGAATCTGTGTATGAAGTCAGAGGAACCAGTTAGGGAACTCGTTGAACAAAGCACATATTGAGTTAATTTCAAAATGATTGAGCAGTGCAGTATTTTCTAATCACATATGACAGAACTACTACTTCTGCATTTGATCGTAACAGGGCAGCTGACACAATGTGTTGTGGTTCACATCCTGGCCCAATACATCGGATTTCAACAAACATTTCATTAGTTACCCTTTACAACATGCCTGAAAGGAGCAATAGGTCTGTTCTTTCTTTCCTCAAAAATTAGGCCCTGAAACTCCTACAGGAAATATGACAGAACAATCCACTGAACGTTCATAGGTCCAATGATAACAACAAGTACCCAGACAACAAAAAAAGAAAATGAATGCCAAGTTTAAGTGTTCATTTTCCAACTCCACCTTGCAGAAGCAACATTTCCACATTTCTGAAAGACAGCAGACTCAACCAACAACACAAACAAATAAATAAGACTTGCTCCACTCCCTAGATGTCGATGTCAATCCCTCGCAGCAGGGAGGCTTCCAGCGGAATGTCAAACTCGGTCAGGGAATCCAGGATGTGCATGACAAAGTTGGTGTGGCTTGGAATGCGAAGGAAGGAGTTCTCCTCGTACATCTGAGCTGTTACTGTTGTGTTGGCCATCAGCGGCAGCCAGCGATGGAGGCAGCGCTTCCTGCAGAAGTGTTAAAGTTTCAACAAGATGTGTGCAAATATACCATGTCAGAGTGTACACACATATATTATCAGATATGTACAAATATATGACATTAGAACTGTACAAACATAAGACATGAGTAAAAATACATCACATCACATCATACATGTACAAACACATCACAGCCATGTACAGATACAAAAGTTGTGTACAAATATATCACATTAGATTGATACAAACATACGACATCAGATGAGAATGAATACATCACAAAACTTGTGTACAAATATAACATTAATGTACAAACACATCACAACACACATGTACAATGTCATCACATTATTACTGGCCATTAATTGAGGTTCTTGTGCCAGCGTAAGTCACATAAAATGTCCTTCACCGTCCCATTTAAAAACCTAATGACAAACTTGTCAGTTCCAGCAAGATCTTGAAGCTTGCACATATAAAGTCAAAATGCATAAGGCAGTTGTCAGATGTGCCAACACTAACAGTCCCAACATCATATGTGCAGCTCACAATTAGCGGATATGGTCAAACATGAAAGCAGGCATTGTACCTACCACTTGCACAGTACATGCTATTCTGAATGTAAGCAGCTACTTTAGTGCAGTAAACAACACATCGCAGGCACAACAGTGTAGACATACATCAAATGTTAATATCAAAAACAAACAGCTGACTTCAATCGTAAAACTGGCTGAAATATATTTCTTTGAATAGTTTCTTTTCCCAGTGTAGGTTCTGGGGCCCTTTCTTATGGGTGCAAAAAAAAAAAAAATATATTCACTCACTTTTTAATCGAAAGCATGTGATAACAGATAATAAAGGTCTGCTGAAATATCCATCCGTGTTGGGCTGAAAAAAAACAGATACTGCAGCCTGTAGTGATCCAAAATAGAGAAATGAAGTAAAGGTTCTGACTGTAAGAATCAGGGAAACCCTAGTTTGCAAGACATGAAGTCAGCATGCGGGAGTGAAGCCTCGTGAATGTGTGTGAATTTTACAAGGTCCAACAATTAAGTAATGAGACTGATTTTATTATGGTCAAGTCAAAAATGCCACTTAAGAAGCAAAGCATGGAATCTAAAGAGGCAATATTCATCTATGATCTGGCTTCTTTTTATTGCTGCTAGTTAAGCAGACAGCAAAAAAAGAATAAGCACGGAGCAAAAAGCTAACATTAAATACTTTTTAAAACTCAGAAAAAGCACCATTGAAACAGTTGAATTGATGAAACAAGTTTATGGGGATAATTGTTTATCTCGTGCACAAATTTTCAGTTTGTATTCACAATTCAAAAGTGGTGTAGAAATGATTACTAATGCACCTAGACCAGGATGCCAAATTTCTGGTCGTAATGATGAACTCATTGCAAAAGTCAGAGAACGGATACAAGAAGATCATTGTTTTACTGTGAGGATGATGGCAAATGAATCTGGTGTAAATTGAGAGAAAATTCATTACATTTTTGTGCAAGAAAAAGTTGCTTGCCAGTTTGTACCACATTCGTTGTCTGATGACCAAAAACATCAGCGGGTTAAGTACCTAAGAGACATCATCAAAACAAGAATTTTTGGCCCAAAAACAAAGGTGTGTTCTCAGCCTTCCACTCTATTCCAGAGATTTGTCTCCCTGTGATTATTTTATATTCCCAAAATTAAAGTTACGACTGAAAAGGACCCTTCTTTAACGATATTGATGACATCCAAAGGGCCGTAGCATCGACCTTAGGGGCCATAAGAACAGAAGAACTACAGAGGTCATTCAAGTGTTTGTTAGATCGTGCATTTTTATCAATGCACAAGGGGCTTAGTATGAATGAAATATAGGTTATATCATCGACTGTTGATTATTTAAATTTTTACAGAATTAGTCTCATTACTTAATTGTCGGACCTTGTAGGAGCACAGGAGACCTGTGTGAACAGCTGAATAGACATTCCTTCTGTGACAGGGCCCAGAGATGAAGGGTGCAAAAGCTGATCTTCCATACAGAAATCTACACTGAACAAAGGCTGAGAGAAAGGCAATGCTGATGTGTTCCTACTGAGTGCTGATTTTGGTCAAAGATGGATGTTGAGGGTTTGGCAGTGTGATCAGAAGTGCAGATAAGTAGAACCTGAATGTGTGAAGTAAATGTCATGCTGTAGATGGTGGCTAGGTTGTTTGTCAGACCAGAGGACAGGCTCTCAAAGCTCATGTGCTTTGATCATTATAACATGAAACTGTCATCAACTGGTGTCGACTGCTATGTGGAAGAGTTGTGGGAGTTGACTGGAGAAAGCCTCTGTCCCATCTACTCTGTGAACACTAGACAATGACCAGAGTCTTACTGCAACAAGTGAAACACTAACGCCCTGTAAACTACAATACAACGTGCCAGCCACCATTTTAAGTGCGAATAAGGAAGAAGAATGTATTTTGGAGAAAATGTAATTAACTGGGCTGGACGTGTTAGAGCAGTCGATAAGAGGCTCGCTTTCAAATTGAGCTGCGACTCGCTGCAGCCCATGGCCAGTGATTGAAACCGGGTGGCTCCTGGGGTTCACCCAGCCTTCAGGAAATGGGTACCAGAGTTGACACTCTGGGGTAAATGGAGGAACATCGCTGTAGCTACAAAGTTACGTGCGAGCGGCGACACAGGCAACAATTCTTAACAGCTGTCCGTACTGGTGGCAGAACGCTGGCTCACATCTCCCAACTTTACTACGTTTTTTTTTTTTTTTTAGTTGTTTTTGTTGTTGTAATTAACTATATTTAAAAAAAATGTTTAATAACTTGTGTAAAATTTTTAAGAACACTTTATTCGAGGATTTCCAGGTTCTGAACTTTTTTCTTCAAAATTATCTAGAGTGACAGGGTTGGGGGTGAACTCCGAAGAAAGAATAAGAATATATTCTTTTGGACTTTCTCTTGACTGCTGTTTAAATGACCTTACACACTCACATTTGCTTTCTACAATCAACAAGTAACAATAATTCATAAAGGCCTAACAACAGTAACATCAAAACAAGGCTTACTTAATTCCAACACAGATAAACACTTGGAATTTTCCGTCTTTGCCCACAGAGTCGGAAGCTGTGTTGATTTTGCCCACCAGGTCACAGAAGAGCCAGTAGCCAGCCTTGCACACTTCAGACAGCTGGCAGGGTGTGTTGCCCATTAAAGCGTTTTCGAAGAAAGCTTTCAGTCGTTCTGGGAAATACAGACATGGCTCAATGAATTATTGCGGCATGGAAAATATTCACTAACTTATGTCAAAAATGTTTCAATGCTCTCAAGATTATGGCAGGAGTGGACATGGAATAAAGAATGTTGTTCACAATGTATCCAGCATGTGATCTTGTTAGTGATAGATTATGGTCTTGGATTGCTTATCATATCAAAAAGTGAGCTGATGAAACTTAAACGCATACAGAATGAAGCCATATGGGTAATTCTGGGATGTACAAGAGATATCCCGATAGTATGTATGTGATATATACTTGCACTGTCTACTACTGCAGACAGGCTCAAAGTTCTGCAAGCAAAGACATATCGCAGAGTAGCTGCGGACAAGAAGCACCTTCTGCCTGAGGCCCTGGATAGAACTTAGGGTCACAGACTGAAAAGAGGAAGGTCTTAGATGGGGGAAAAGGTAAAAAATAACAACAGAGAAACAAGTAGGTGAAAAACACAATCAAACTCAAACAGAAAACACCCACTAACTGTTGGTGGAAAACAGAAACACCCATCAACAGCAAACAAAGAAACATGGAAGGGGATGGTGGAAGAGGAGAAATAAGTGATGAAAACAAATAAGAAACTAGAAACTAAGGTTAATGATACTGAAGACTACTGGCATGTTCTAACCACACCACCCCTCTAGTGCTTTTCAGTGTATAAAAATATCCCAGTCTAAAATATTTCAAGGCATGGACACATTTGCAATCGCTCTTCGTCTCCTTCTATGCACACTGACATATGGCTTTCATTAGCATAAGTAAAGATCCCTTTTCACGCCTATAGGCACATCGGGCATATGGGAAGAGCTCTTATATGTTTACAGACCAACTGGCACTAGGTGGGTAATGTCAGCATTACACCGGCTGGCTTTACTTCTCCAGGACAGCCAAACTGGTACCCATTTTAAGTTGGGTCGACCTTCGATGCCCCATATCACGATAAAAATCCACACAGCCAACAATGGGTTTCGATCGCGGTACTCTGGAATTATGAGTCAAAATCGCAACGCCTAAGCCATAAGTAAAATAAAGCAATCTTATTACACAAAATGCTCAATGTGATGCCAGATTCCAAATATTTTCCGCCAGGACATTACCTGGTAACCACTGTAAGCTGGGAGTCCAGGCTGAGTCTGATAAAAAAGATAAAAATACCCACTTTGTGTGGATTCAAACCCAAGACCTTCAGACCACTACACTACTACTTCTCTCCACTAATATTTGTACTTACCCATACGGTAGGAAAAGAAAGTAGCCCGTCCACACAACTGGACAAACTAAGCCCTATATTTGGCACTTGATGGGTGATGAGGTTAAAAGTATACAGAATACTTTTGCTTCCTTCTTCTTCTCTTCATGCTCCCTGCCAGTGGTTTTCACATAAGAAGGCCACAGGTCTCTATGAAGTCAACACATACCATCATCTGATCCATACAGCTATGTTTTCATCTGAATGCCAACCTGAGAAAACCTTTGGTTTGGTTTATACAACGGATCAACATCCTGGCACAAGGGTAGTAACCCATAAGTGCTCAGTTCTACTTCTAACTCCAGCTCGAGTCCGAAGAATCTCAGCTCAGTGCAGGAACTCTACAGCATCGGCGAGGATCCTGAAATACTTTGGGTGGATTTTAAACTCCAAATTTTGCCAGGCCCCTGCACCTCTGACCTGATATCATGTCCTCCATTACTATTCTTTTCAAGCTGTTTGATACGGCTAAAGTATGTCAGTTCGGAGACAGGATGATCTTTTCAAGCTGTTTGATACGGCTAAAGTATGTCAGTTCGGAGACAGGATGATCTTTTCAAGCTGTTTGATACGGCTAAAGTATGTCAGTTCGGAGACAGGATGATGTTTTCAAGCTGTTTGATACGGCTAAAGTATGTCAGATCGGAGATAGGATGATGTTTTCAAGCTGTTTGATACGGCTAAAGTATGTCAGTTCGGAGACAGGATGATGTTTTCAAGCTGTTTGATACGGCTAAAGTATGTCAGTTCGGAGACAGGATGATGTTTTCAAGCTGTTTGATATGGCTAAAGTATGTCAGTTCGGAGACAGGATGATGTTTTCAAGCTGTTTGATATGGCTAAAGTATGTCAGTTCGGAGACAGGATGATGTTTTCAAGCTGTTTGATATGGCTAAAGTATGTCAGTTCGGAGACAGGATGATGTTTTCAAGCTGTTTGATACGGCTAAAGTATGTCAGATCGGAGACAGGATGATGTTTTCAAGCTGTTTGATACGGCTAAAGTATGTCAGTTCGGAGACAGGATGATGTTTTCAAGCTGTTTGATACGGCTAAAGTATGTCAGATCGGAAACAGGATGATGTTTTCAAGCTGTTTGATACGGCTAAAGTATGTCAGTTCGGAGACAGGATGAACGAACGAACGAACGAGCGAACAAACTTTATTTTCAAAGGGTTACAAATTGGGCACGCAGGCCCGTCTGACATTCGGCCCTTCTAAGTACTCATTTTTCAGAGTACTAATACCTGTTATCAATAATGCATGTTATGGATTTAAAAAGAAATATATAATGCATACACACATTGTGTGTACGCCATCATACACACTCACACACACGTATACATACATCTACATTTTCATACAGGTGAACTCATATACAGACAAACGTGATACATACACACCTGCATCTACATACATATACAAGCATACACATACACAGAAATAAATGCACAAACAGAAAACACACACACATACATTTATGGATATACATGCACACACGCATTCCATATATACACATCTATACATGCACCCATGCATACACACATATACCATTACATGTACAGACACCAACATATGCCCAAAACCACACATTCACACTTACATGAATACATACACCCACATACATATATCCACACATATATACCTAAACTCACATCTTTACACACATACATACATACATATATCCATCCACATATATACACAACATAATAAATACTACCTACATACTTTGCATACACACATTACATACATACACATTTACATTCATACATTCTCATACATAAATATACATACTTATACTTTCATATATCATGCATACACATGCATACACACACAATCACATACCGGACATACAGGATGATGTTTACAAGCTGTTTGATACGGCTAAAGTATGTCAGTTCGGAGACAGGATGATGTTTTCAAGCTGTTTGATACGGCTAAAGTATGTCAGTTCGGAGACAGGATGATGTTTACAAGCTGTTTGATACGGCTAAAGTATGTCAGTTCGGAGACAGGATGATGTTTTCAAGCTGTTTGATATGGCTAAAGTATGTCAGTTCGGAGACAGGATGATGTTTTCAAGCTGTTTGATACGGCTAAAGTATGTCAGTTCGGAGACAGGATGATGTTTTCAAGCTGTTTGATACGGCTAAAGTATGTCAGTTCGGAGACAGGATAATGTTTTCAAGCTGTTTGATACGGCTAAAGTATGTCAGTTCGGAGACAGGATGATGTTTTCAAGCTGTTTGATACGGCTAAAGTATGTCAGTTCGGAGACAGGATGATGTTTTCAAGCTGTTTGATACGGCTAAAGTATGTCAGTTCGGAGACAGGATGATGTTTTCAAGCTGTTTGATACGGCTAAAGTATGTCAGTTCGGAGACAGGATGATGTTTTCAAGCTGTTTGATACGGCTAAAGTATGTCAGTTCGGAGACAGGATGATGTTTTCAAGCTGTTTGATACGGCTAAAGTATGTCAGATCGGAGACAGGATGATATTTTCAAGCTGTTTGATACGGCTAAAGTATGTCAGTTCGGAGACAGGATGATGTTTTCAAGCTGTTTGATACGGCTAAAGTATGTCAGATCGGAGACAGGATGATGTTTACAAGCTGTTTGATATGGCTAAAGTATGTCAGTTCGGAGACAGGATGATGTTTTCAAGCTGTTTGATATGGCTAAAGTATGTCAGTTCGGAGACAGGATGATGTTTTCAAGCTGTTTGATACGGCTAAAGTATGTCAGTTCGGAGACAGGATGATATTTACAAGCTGTTTGATACGGCTAAAGTATGTCAGTTCGGAGACAGGATGATGTTTACAAGCTGTTTGATACGGCTAAAGTATGTCAGTTCGGAGACAGGATGATGTTTTCAAGCTGTTTGATACGGCTAAAGTAAGTCAGTTCGGAGACAGGATGATGTTTTCAAGCTGTTTGATATGGCTAAAGTATGTCAGTTCGGAGACAGGATGATGTTTTCAAGCTGTTTGATATGGCTAAAGTATGTCAGTTCGGAGACAGGATGATCTTTTTAAGCTGTTTGATATGGCTAAAGTATGTCAGTTCGGAGACAGGATGATCTTTTCAAACTGTTTGATATGGCTAAAGTATGTCAGTTAGGAGACAGGATGATCTTTTCAAGCTGTTTGATATGGCTAAAGTATGTCAGTTCGGAGACAGGATGATGTTTTCAAGCTGTTTGATATGGCTAAAGTATGTCAGTTCGGAGACAGGATGATGTTTACAAGCTGTTTGATATGGCTAAAGTATGTCAGTTCGGAGACAGGATGATGTTTACAAGCTGTTTGATATGGCTAAAGTATGTCAGTTCGGAGACAGGATGATCTTTTCAAGCTGTTTGATATGGCTAAAGTATGTCAGTTCGGAGACAGGATGATCTTTTCAAGCTGTTTGATATGGCTAAAGTATGTCAGTTCGGAGACAGGATGATCTTTTCAAGCTGTTTGATATGGCTAAAGTATGTCAGTTCGGAGACAGGATGATGTTTACAAGCCAATTTTCTTTGATGTTCAAATCTGTTCAAATACTGACCCATATAGTCCCAAATAAAGATCTTGTTGCGAAACAGACGGGAAGATCGAAAGCCAAACTGGAACACCTGCTCCATACAGTGTACAAGTCCCTTATCTCCACACAGGAGGTAGGTGATGTTTCCACGCTGCAGTAATAGACAGAAAAACCCAATAAAAATTATACAATAATAATATATTAATAATAATAATTATAAAGATATAAATAAAAAGCATTCTATTTATCATCTAAATTACTTTGACTTTAATAAATGCCTCAATGGTTTTAACCCACTGACTACCAACGTCGCACTTTATGCGACGAGGCGGCGTTTACTTCCTGTCACCAACGTCGCACGCTTTGCAAGTTTAGCTTTGGACGCTCGCCGGCATGTTAAAATCGCGATTTTTATGATGGCTTTAGTTTCTGTATGGTTAATTAAGGGAAATAACTTCGTAGTGCTTGAAGTAAATATTTGAAGAATTTTTTTAGTTAGCTCCCATGACGGTGAGACATTGACGAAAAATTCATCATGGCGTCAAATTATCGGAACCATCGTGGTGGCCATATCTCTCCTAATTTTTCTAATGATGCATTCGATTTTCTTGATTTTGCTTCAAAAAGTGAATTTGAAGACACTTCTGAACAGTTGGATGGCTATGACTATAATAAATTTAATGAAGTGCCATTCAAAACATCGTCGACTGTAAAACGGCAGCATGAAGCTTTGAAGTCAAGTCTGACAAAGACAGTGTTGTTGGCTGCAAGTACTGGTGCCGCAGTTTATGATGCTGATAGTTCTTGTAAGAGTATTCAGTCAAAGCCCACAGATTATAAAGATTTTGTGCGTGAGTCTGCACATGACGAAGATATCATTGCCGCTTTTGATTCAGAATCATCATCATCTGACGAGATGTGCCATGCCCCCCAATGGTTGATGACTGGCATTGTGATTTAGACATTGTGATTTAGACATTTTAGAAGGCTTTCCTGGAGTACCCCCATTTACTCGCACTTTTGGTTTATTTCTGCCAGCAGGAACAAATGAACCACTGAATATTTTCTCCAGTAAAGAAATTCTGGCTGTGTTTGCTAAAGAAACAAACCGTTATGCTGAGGCAAAGATTGGTGCGAAACCAGACACCTGTTTTCCCAAGAACTGGAAACACACAACCCCAAATGAAGTAACATGGTTTCTTGTACTGTTGCGTCACATGTGTTGTGAAAAAGCCGTCTATTTCAGACTACCGGAGTCTATATCCATCTATCCACTCATCATTTGCTGCCACCATCACGTCACGGGGGCGTTTTCTATATATTGCTGTCAGATAACAGATTTGTCTGTTGCCTTTTCAGCACCATATCTACAGCCACATGATGATGATATAAAACAGTAAATCTACATATGTCTTGTTATTTGTTATCTATTTAATTTGGTGCAAACAATTTCAGATAGGATAAGTGATATTGAACAGTTGTGAAGCTGTGACATTTTTTGGGAGTCTGAATTATTGTCAGATAAAGGATTTTTCAGTTGCCTTTTTTGCAACAATCTACAGCCACATGATGATGATGATTATGGCAGACAAAGTAAACCCCATTTTTTGTCTTCACACTGTTCTCGGTTCAATTTTGTGCAAAAATAAAAAATGTAATATATGTTTGTTGAATATTTTTGAAAAACAAATCATCACTATCAGTCTTTATTGTTGTCAGATAAAAGATTTTCAGTTGCCTTTTTTGCAACAATCTACAGCCACATGATGATGATGACTATGTCAGAGTAAACCTTATTTTTATTTTCTTTAAATGGGTTCTTGGTTTAATATTGTGCAAAAAATACAAAATATTATACATTTTTGTTAAATATTTTTTTTAAATAAGACATTTTTATTAGTCTTTATTGTTGTCAGATAAAAGATTTTTCTGTTGCCTTTTTTACACTAATCTACAGCCACATGATGATGATGCAAAACAAAATAAACAACTTTTTTTCTTGAAATTTGTTCTTCATTCAGTTTGGTGCAAAAATACAAAATATTGTGAGATTATATCAAATAGTTGTGAAGCTATGGCATTTTTAGTAAACACTAAAATACGTGGTATCTGGGGAAATGCAAGGGTTAATGGGCTTTGTAGTAAGTGGGTTAAAAAAACCAGTAATGGAAACATAATTTAAAAACAGAAACAAACAAAACAAGAGACATAAAATAACAACAAATGAACACAGAAACACACATACAAAGAAAGAAGAATAAAGGTTTGGGGAAAGGGGGAGGGGGGGGGGGGGGGGTGGTCAGCAAAATGAAACCAACAGATAAACAAGGAAAAGCAAAGTCCAGCAAAATGAAACTAACAAATAAACACAGAAGAACTAAGTAAACCAAAAACAAACACTCAGAAGAGCAATGCAGAGCAAAAATAAACTAACAAATAATAATGGAAGAACAAAGTACAGCAAAAACAAACAAACACAGAAGAACAAAGTAAAGCAAAAACAAACTAAAAATATAAAACATGGAAGAATACAAAGTATAGTGAAAAAAAACAACAACAAATAAACACAGAAGAACAAATTACAGCAAAAACTAACAAATAAAAATGGAGGAACAAATTACAGAAAAAACAAATAAACATGAAGAACATACATTTAAAAAAAACACACACACAGGAAAAAACCCACGAAAACTGTACCTCTTTCTCAGGTTTGTAGAAGTGTTTGACCAAGTTATTGACAGCCTGTCCCAGATTTTCCTGGATCTCAGCCAAACCAATATCTGCAAATGATCAGGATTTTCAAAGTAATAAATTCGGCAACTCTGTGCAGGAACCATCTTTAGACAACTCAGACTGGATGCCTCCAACAGAGTTGAAGCCAAAGAAATCAACAACACATATACAAGTGAATATAAACATCAGATTCTGCAAGAACTCTGTAGTCTAATCCCCATAAGGTAAAGGACCCTTCAGGTATATAAGGCCTAGAGGCTAGACTACGACAGGAAGAGTACATGTAAACAAAGATCTTCATCTGAACTTACTTGTGCTGTGAGCTTTTCTTGGGGATTTTGGTGAGCAAGTCTTGGGAGGTGAAGTCACCACAACTTCATCTGGAAATTATATATTTTAAGTCATAAGTGAAAGCAAATTTGTAATGTACATTCATAATTAATGCACATTTTATATTCAACTCCACCATGTTGTATTATTTTGGCTGTGAGAAGCCAAACTTGCCTGTAGGTTACCAGGGCTATAAAGGAAGCAAAGAATAGTTCAATGGTAGCCTACCATGCAGGTCATAACCTTTCGCCCCCTGAATGCTAAAAAAAAAAAAAATTTAAAAAATATGTCATGAATCAATACATTTCTAGAAAAAAATCCTCACAAAAATGAATTACATGGATTCTGAAAGTGTTTCTTAAAGTTGAAAAAAAAAACTTGGTGTCAACTGTGTATGTTGCTTGTTATAGAGAACTTCTTAAACCCTTATTATATGTAAAAATTTCTGTCTGAAAGTGTTGTAAAGAGTTAACAAACCTTCAGTGTCAATTGTGTGGTGCATCAGCTCCGCCACCAGTAGCCTTTCTGTGCTTCCATCATCCACTCCTCGGCCCCAGCCATCGACCACAGTTAAACCTGTCAAACAGTTGGGTTAAACATGACACACTTCAATGATATATAATTTAATTGTGGTTTAATTCTGTTTCCTCATCTGTCAATGTTCTGTTTTAAAAGGATAGTCAATTTGTTGTATGCAAGATAATGTGTGGTATCTGCAATAAAAAATGTTAATATCACAAATATGTCTCCAGAAGAGGATTCAGGGGTCAGGCAAATGTGTCAAGTCTTTTTCTTGTGAAATGCCCATGATTTTAAACTGACAAGTTATCTGACAGTGACCTATCCATAACAGCCATAGTGATACAGAACTACAGTCAGCTTTTAAAAAAAAAATTTCTTTGAACCGGTTATTGCAGACTCTAAGATCACTTCAAATGGACTGGGGGCTTATCAATGTCCCAACTGAATGGGAGGATTTTCCTTTATCTCACTTGTTTATTTCACTCTCAGGTTTTCTCCTCAGGGTTGAAACCCCCTACTTATCAGTGGATTACCAGGGACAAAAGGGTTCAAGAAATGAAGGTGAATCAGACTTAACTCCTTTAGTCCCACACAACGCACCTTATGTGATATGCACTCTGATATGACGAATATTGCTAAAATCTTCCCAGTTAAAAGAAAATAATATGCAACATGGTATATGTTTCCTGCAAAGTGTGTTAAGTGCTGCCTCTATTAATGCTATGCATTCCTTTTCTTTACATTGTTTCCATCATTTCTGTTGGATATCTTCTGTGAAATCTTGTGGGACTGAAAGAGTTAAACAAGAGAAATTGATCTGTTTTGTCCCAAGCAATGTGCCGTATGTGCATTTTCTGCCTTATATAGTCAGTTACTCTAAAGAACTCAAAAGTTGGAACATATATCTGGCTCTTGTGGGAACTAGTACATTTACTAGTTTTACAACTGTCATTATAGCCTTTTTCTGAAAGCAGCGGTAATCTCCTGGGACGGAAAGAGACAGTAAATCTCATCACTTCTCTATTAGGAACGCATATTTGTCAAGCGAAAGCATACCACCACTGTGATTGTTAAAGGTTTAACAGCCAGGCACATCAGTATAGCCTTTCTCTAAAATCATCTACAAATTCCTTTATTCTTAGTATTATATTATTTATTATCACCTTTAGTTTTTCCCCTACTATTTTTCGAGCCTTCCTTTATTTTATTTTATTTCACTCCTTCCACATCACCTTTTCCATAGTTTCTTGTTGACCCCTTAGTGTTTGGAGTACTCTCCCCCTTGTTATGGCCGTTGTAGTTCATGTTCTTGTCAAGAAATTTCTTGGTATCAACATAACTGCAGTCACCCCTATTTTTACAACTTTTTGAAAAGGCTAGTAGACTGATATACAACCCGAGGATTCAGGGGCAGACAAATAGCTGTGGTTTATCATGTTAAGCCTTTTAATCAAACCAATTCCAGCTTACAGTTGTTGGAATAAGACTAAATACTTGCCAGTTTGTCCCGAATACAGCAAATTCAATTATTTTTTTAAATTCTCATCATGAGCCTTATGGTATGTTCTTCAACATAAATAATAAATGAATCCAGGGAAGATTACCTGTATGTATGACCTGTCAGCTCGTTTCTAACCAGGACGTATTCCACCAGCCATCTTGGCATCATGCCACTGTTATCATGGCCAATACGAAGGGTAGTTAGCACTCCGAGATTTTTGTGCTGCAAATGTTATTTAAGGAAATTAAAGGAGTACCAAACTGAGAATATATAACATCAAAAAGGCATCCTGCATAAAGCTAAAGAAATTACCAATATTTCATTAACTGTGCAGAATACGGCCTATCAAATAATATGACAGAACTATTAGTTCAGTGATATGGGATAGAACTAAAACTCCTGTTAAACAAAAGACAAGGAAAAGATGTTGGCACTGGATAGACACATACTAAGAAAACAGGACGATATAAGTGGAATTTCCTTAACTAAGAACTTACAGCGCAAAAGAAATAAAGAGAGATCAATTAACACATGTAGAAGAGAAATAAGAGAGACTGAAATGATTAAGATGGTCAGGATATGAGGTGAGCTGCACAAACGTAATGAATAGGTTAATATGGTGGGAGCTAGTTGAAATCCTGTGCTTCAATGAGCGGGGAGAAAAAGCACACACAAATAAAACCACACACAAAAAACAGATGACATTTCCAGAATATCGGCAATATCATAATTCTTTTTCATCAATATATTCTTCACATTTATTTAATTCATTTTCATGAATATAATCTTCAAAATTATTTAATTCTTTTGCTGAATTCACCCATAAAATTGCATTTGGCACATTATGTTGTGATTTAGAGCTAGGTGGTATCCATTTGGCCCAACATATTCAGTTTCAGCTAACTTCTAATCATCTGCCTTTTACGACATGCTGGGATCCATGCTCCATGGGATCTATTCCTTTTTTTCTCCTCAAAATTGATCCTGTAACTAACACAGGAAAAAATTATTTAAATAATTTACATCAGAATCATTTCACATTGTGGATATGTTCGAGTATTTTCAAATCAGGAGGGGAAGATGTACTGTTAAGCTTTTGTACTGACTATCTACCGTGTCTACTGACATATAATAATAGCATAAAACAAACCATGCTTAAATGTACAACTAAAGACACTTGTATCAATTCATAGCATGTAAAACAATTCAAGTACCCAGGCATAGGAACAACATTTAATAAAAGTTGCATCATAGGGATAAAGAACGGAAAAAGCAAAAAACATCTTTGATTAAATAAAAAGTTTTACATACACGTTATACACTACCCTCTCCTCACTTCCTTTCATAAAGAACATTATTTTTCAGATTGCCCCCCCCCCCCCCCCCCCCACTCTTTGCAATGGGGCATTGCAACCAATTCAGAATAGTAAAATTCTATTTTCATTGCTCCTTTTCATGGCAATCAAGGCTGGTTACTCTGGCCATCCCCAGCATTCAAAACATTCATCACAGAAACCAGACTTCAGCTGCCTCCAAGCTCTTCCTCATTTGTTCATTCACTGTCAAAGATTCTCTGCCATACAACAAAAATATAGGTCTGGCATGATATTTCCATACCTGATGATGATTAATAATGATGATAGGGAGCTGTCCTGATGTAGCGGCTAGACGCTCACCTGAGGATCTGGAGGTCATGGGTTCAGCTCCTAACAGAGCTGGATTATTTTCAAAAATAACCCTGGTTACCAGGTACAAACAGGAAATGGGTACCAAGTAAAGTCCTGGGAAATAAAGGCGCCTGGTGACCAAATTATCCACTGTGTGCCAATTGATCTATAAAATATAGGTCTAGATCTATACGCCCAATATCCCTGAAGGCACGGAAAAGGTTCCTTTATAATTTTACTTTCAAAGCCACGTTGATGATGATGATAGTGGTGATGATGGTAATGGCGAAGATGATAATAGTGCTGATGATGCTGATAATTGTGCTGATAATGATTATAGTGGTGCTGATGATAGTGGTACCTATGATAGAGGTGTTGATGATAGTGGGGTTGATGATAGTGGTGTTCATGATAGTGATGTTGATGACAGACGTATAGACAATGATGACAAAAGTGATGTTGATGATCATGATGAATGACAGCAAACAAACCTCAAAATTCAACTCCAGCAAGCTCTTGGCTACTTCCATCTCCCCTGTCTCTCCCAGCTGGCCAGCAACGGACAGCCAGACATTGGCGCTGGTGGTAGAGCAGCCAAGTTTGGAGCTCGGGTATATCAAAACTCGATAGGGTACCACTGGTATATAAAATAATCAAATACTAATAAAAAGGTGATCATCATTAGTATGACAATGACACAGACTTTATCATAACAATGAAGGGAAAAACAGAGACATTTAAAGAAGGGGAAAAAAGCAAGGATCAGATATTGGACTGGCAATGACGAGACTGTCATAGAAGATCAGATAATGAAATGTTATATATGAATTACAAAGAGAAAATTGACCAGAAAGAAAAAAAAAAGGAAGCTACCAAGCATGGATCTGAGATAAGCACAAGACAAGTAGAGAAAACCGTGACACTGAGCTGCAACCTATATCAGTGAGACATAAAAAGAAGAAGATGAAGAACATGGATTAGAAAAAGAACTATCATATCTGGATTAATACAGGAACAGTCACACATGGATTAGAGAAAGAAGTCTCATTAATCCTTTCGCCTCACGATGCCACTAATCTGGTACTGCCATCTGTTACAACTCCTCTAAAAGGCACTAAACCGCACTGCTCCACTGGCCAGTTGCTGACAAGCCTAGTTAATGGCATTGGTTTCGTTTGTGCCTGTGCAGTGTTTAGAAGGACTAGGTATGATCATATTTACTAAAAATTTCATTAGTGGTGGGGGTATTGAACAAATTAGCTTTTTAAAACCCATTAGAATTAATAATTTGCTTTTAGTCATAGCAACCACAAAATTGCCAGCACAATCTTTTTATTACGAACACATTCTTTGACCATAGAGATTCACAACTTTACACTTGGTACAAATGGAATGATATCTCCATCAAGAGCCAGATTGACTTTATACTTACCAGAGTTCAAGGAAGAAGGAGAATTCTTGATTCAAGAGCAATCCCTAATGGTCTATGTGACACTGACCATAAAATAGTTGTGTTAACAGCAAAACATCTTACATTAAAGAAACACAGAAAGAAATTAAACAAAAACAAGGATCTCATCAAGATAGCAAATCTGAAACAGGAAGGAGTAAAAGAACAGTTACAACAGAAAGTAGAGACAGCATTCAAACAACTTCCACATGTAGTTGGCAACATTGAGGAAGAATGGAGTATATATAAAAACACTATGCTTAGTATTGCAGAAGAATTATGTGGAAAACGGAAGAGTGGAAACAGACGGGGAAATAACAAATATTCACCTTGGTGGTGCGAAGAAAGTAAAGAGAAGCAATTAAAAAGAAAAAAGACTTATATAAACAGTGGATAAAATCAAAGAAAGAAGAAGATTATATAAACTACAGACTGCAAAGGAGAGAAACCAACAGGAGTGCCAAGAAAGCAAAACAAGCATCCTGGGAACGTTTCGGTGAGTCACTAGCAGAAAACGAGAAAACAGCCAGCAGAAAATTTTTCAAAGTGGTTAAAAATATGCGGAAAAGAGATGAGAGCTACAACCCCACTGAAATAATTAATGATAAGACAGGAAGGCCATTGATAGATCCACCCGAGATTGCAGAGAGATGGAGGGAATACTTCAATGAGCTCTTTAATCCTCTAGGAGATCAGCAGGAAAGAACAACTGAAGAGCACAGAGCAACAGTGTTAGAACCACACATACTAATGGATGAAATAGAAAAAGTCATTAAACAGTCTCCCAAATATAAAGCACCAGGAGCTGATAGATTACCAACAGAAATAATTCAAGCAGCAGGTGAAAGCAGCATCAGATGGCTTCACAGAATTTTCAATGCAGCATGGGTACAACAAACGGCCCCTATTGATTGGCAACATGCAATAGTTATACCATTGTGGAAGAACACAAAGGAAGCAAACGAGAATGCGGTCAATATCGAGGCATATCTCTTTTAAGCCATGTTGGCAAAATGTGTATGCCAAGATAATAGAAACAAGACTGAGACCAGTGATAGAACCACAAGCTGGCAGAAGAACAGATGGGATTTAGGAGAAATAGAAGCTGCACAGATGCAAATCTTCACACTTAAACAGTTAATAGAAAAGAACATTGAATACAATAAGAACTTATTTGTGGCTTTCGTAGACCAGGAGAAGGCATTTGACAGAGTCGAAAGACAATTAATTATGGAAAATAATGGCAAGATATGGAGTAAGCGAACACCTCATCGAAGTGTGCAAAGTTTATATAGGGATTGTAGAAGTGTAGTTAGAATAAATTAGGGAACATCTCATCCTTTCACACAGTGACATCTGGAGTAAGGACAGGGGTGTGTCTTATCACCACTGCTGTTTATCACCTACATCGACAGTATATGCAAGAATGCCAAGCCCATTGAATGAAGATCTTAGTAAGATCAACGAATTACTCTTTGCAGATGACCAGGCCTTGATAGCAGATATCACAGCCATGAAATTGCAACAACATCTAACATCCATGAATGAAGAATGTAAAACAAACTAACTAATGAGAATCAACACTGAAAAGACAGAAGTAATGTCAATAGGAAAAAAGAAGACAGATCTAAACATAACATAGAATACAAAGGCATTAAACAGGGCATCTGAGTTTAAATATCTGGGAAACTACATTTACCGAAGATGGGGAAATTGGATAAGAGAAAATTGACAGTAGGATGCAGTAAAGCAAACCAAGTATTGGGACAGCTAGCCCCCCTCTTACAGCATAAGACAATCCCAGTCAGCACAAAAGAGACATCTTATTCAAAGCATATTTATTCCAACTCTGTGCTACCAGTGCCAGACATGGTCACTCACAACAAACACATAAAAGAAAATAGTAACCACGGAAATGAGATGTCTGAGAAGGGCTGTAGGAGTGACCATAAGAGATAAGATCAGAAATGAGATCATAAGAGAACAAGTCGGCACAGAACCAATTCTGGATTACATACAAAGACAGCAAGTGAAATGGTTTGCCCACTTAGAGAGAATGCCTTGTGACACCATACCATACAAAGCATACATGGGAAGAGAAGAAGGACGTAGAGCACGGGGTAGACCAAGAACAAGATGGATGGATAACATCAGTGAAACTCTACAACAGCACGATGTGCCTATGGTCGAGGCAGCCAGAAGAGCTAGAAACAGAACCTTATATCTCCCTCGACACCCACAGCGGTAAAAGAGGAAGTGAAGAAGAACCACAAAATTGCAAGTGATGGGGTAACGTATGAGTCACCATATACGTTTTTTAGGCACAAGAGAATTTAATTATCCACTCTGTTCATGTTTATTGATTACTACACGTTACATACAAAATGTTTCTTTTTATTATTTGAACCCCTTAAGATCCAAAAATTTTTTACTGTAAGCATAGGAACAGAGGAGTTAAAGAAACACAGGTCTTGGACAGCAAGAGTTAATATCAAAATCCATATTCTGTACTGCAAGTACTGACTTTCTCCACTAAATAATTAAATTGAAAAAAAAAAAAAAAAACCCATTAAAAAAACCAACAACAACAAAGGACAGATATCACTTACCAGAATTAGGGAATGTATTAGTGAAGCAGAAGAAGTCCACAGCATTTAATGATAAAAGATGGCAGAGAAACTGTTCTCTCTCTTCTTCACATCGCAAGAAAGCATAGCGCTTGTACAGGCTCCTGTCAACAGAGAACAGTGTTTACTTTTAGGCATCCGTCAATGAGCTTTGATACTGCTTTGGCTAGACATCAGTGTCTGTGGCTTAGGTGTTGCGAACGCGCTTTGTAATGCTGAGGGGCCAGGGATTCGATCCCAGCTGCGGACGATTTGTCTTACATTGGTTTTGCCAATAGTACCGAGAGCTGATCGCTCAGCAGCAATGGCAAACCACTGAACATAAAATTTCCCTAGTAAAACCATAAAAAAAAAAAAAAAAAATGCTGGGTTGGTTCTACAACATCTGCAAAAGAATATGCAGCTAACTTTGGGTTAGACACCAGCTTTTCGACCAGAATGTTTTAAATTTAAATGACACACTGGGGAATTTTATATCTGACATGTGTTCCCAGCTTGACCCAGCCTTAAATGGGTAACAGGAAATGTTTAGGTAAGTAAAGGTGGCTGCCGTGGTGCTGACCATATCATGTGCTGAGTGTTGATTGGTCTATGACAATATGAACCTAGGACTATATTTACAATGCACCAACAGCGTGAAAGGGTCCTGTTTACAATAATCAAGTTTTGGAAAAAGACCAAAGTCCAGAAGATAACCCCCCCCCCCCCCCCCCAAAAAAAAAACCCCAGAATTTTCCACCAGTTTACACCCAGTGATCACTAAGAAGAAGAATTAATCAATACTATCTCCATAATAAGAATTGTCTGCAATGGATTATCAACACTCTTTTGTCTCTGGCTCTGATTAGTTACTCTCTTAGACTGTTGTTCATCCATTTCGTGATGTTGTCCTCCCACTACCACTAGAGTCTACTGCTTGCTTGCCTGCTTTCAACTGAAACCCTCCAAAATGTACTTAACCCTGTCACCCCGAGAAGGCTAAATCTAGTCACTTCCAGTAAAGACAGAGACAGCCTCGTAAATGCTGATATATCGCCATTTCTACAGTGGCCTGTTCTAGCAAATGTAGTTAATTGGCACTGGTATTATGTGCACCTGTGTAGTGTTTAGGAGGCCCGGTTGTGAATATATAAACTAATTATAGCAGTCAGAGGGCTTTCTTTGTGAATCCAAAAACTTTTTTAAAACCAGGTTGACTTAAACATTTTCCAGTAAGCCTCAGTGATTGAAGCCACAGCATGACTCACCCAATAAATTTGTATCCTGGGGAAGGCATTAATGGTTCACTCTGTTACTGTTTACTGATTGCTCTCTATATAGAGCTGTACACATTTTGAAACAGTAATTCTAAAAATGTAGATAAATCAATTTTTCAACAATTTATTAGTTTACCCGAGTAAAAAAGTTTTTTGTTTGTTTTGTTTCTAAAGGATTCTTCAAGGAAATTCCCGGAGGCCGAAGGACCAATTTTTTTTCAGCACACACAGGGCAAAGGGTTAAAATAACATATAATTGAATGAGGTAAAAATTTTCCCCACTAGCCTATATATAATTTTTTCTGCTTTCTTTTTCCCTCTTCAGAATCTTTGTGTGTTTGTTTCCTGGAAATACAAACTATCTCGTATGAAAGTATTTTCAGACCCTCGATCTGACTTTCTGATTGCACGCTCACTGTCCTGGCTTCTGTGTCATATGATGGGCTACAGACAATAATGCTACATTTTAACTGACTGAACTCTTAGACTGAAGTCTGAAATGATCAGTAGCTGGACTCACAATAGTATTGGTCATCTAAGGGAGTTCAGTCGTAATCAGGCAGCAAATTCTTTGATTGATTGTCTCTTTCTTATAGTGAAACTTCTTTCTTAACTTGCTGGATCTAGTTATCTCTGTATGTGAGTGCGCACACATGTGTATGCATGTTATCTCTGTATGTGAGTGCGCACACATGTGTATGCATGTTATCTCTGTATGTGAGTGCGCACACATGTGTATGCATGTTATCTCTGTATGTGAGTGCGCACACATGTGTATGCATGTTATCTCTGTATGTGAGTGCGCACACATGTGTATGCATGTTATCTCTGTATGTGAGTGCGCACACATGTGTATGCATGTTATCTCTGTATGAGAGTGCGCACACATGTGTATGCATGTTATCTCTGTATGTGAGTGCGCACACATGTGTATGCATATTATCTCTGTATGAGAGTGCGCACACATGTGTATGCATTTTGTTGAGGGGGAAGGGGAGAAGTAGTGCTGGAGGAAAAACAGATTTCTGCTCTACTATTCTAGAAACAAAGACAACAAAAGATTCCAACTGAACTAATAAAGATGACCAAGAAAGTGCCTTAACTTATATACTTATACTTGAAAGTCTAAAAAATTAAAACAGACATACCTCAGCAGATCAGTGTCCGCTAACAGCTGTTTCAGGTATACAGACAGCATCTTCCTCTCAAGTGCCAGTCGAATCAGAGCCCGAGTCTTACCAACATCTGTGTGGATGTCTGGCATCTGCTGTATTTTTCTGAGATGTAAAATAACACTTCATTTAATGTCTTTAAACAAACTAATGTTTCAGAAAAAAGTGATTACGTTTTTTTCAAACTGTATGAAAGATGGACAATGTGAGAAAACTATCAGAACTGTCGTGTTCAGATTAGCTGAACATCCTTTACAGGATGTTGTAACCAACCCCAGCATGTGTTGGTTGGCTTGTGGTTTTATTAGGCAACTTTATGTTCAGTAGTTAGCCATTGTTTCATGAACGGTTCAACAGTCATACCATTACTACAGAGTTACATCAAGAGTCCCTTCCACGTTATTTACCACATAGGAAATGAAGATGCTCTCCTGAAATTAGCGGCAGCAGTGACAATAAAACTGAACAATTCCCAGTGCACAGAAGAAAAACATGTGGTCAATCCGCAGTGTACACAAGAACAACATGTGGTCAATCCGCAGTGTACAGAAGAACAACATGTGGTCAATCCGCAGTGTACAGAAGAACAACATGTGGTCAATCCACAGTGCACAGAAGAACAACATGTGGTCAATCCACAGTGCACAGAAGAACAACATGTGGTCAATCTGCAGTGCACAGAAGAACAACATGTGGTCAAACCACAGTGTACAGAAGAACAACATGTGGTCAAACCACAATGTACAGAAGAACATGTAGTCAAACCACAGTGCACAGAAGAACATGTAGTCAAACCACAGTGCACAGGACAACAACATGTGGTCAATCTGAATGACTCGTTATAAAGTGGCTGTCTTTCACTGAGGAGATGGGCAACGTAACTATAGAAGTCGGTGATTTATGTAGTGCAGTGCAAAGGATGAGGAGTGGCTGGCCAAACAGTTAAGAATGCTGGGCTCTGATGTCGGAGACAAATTCCTGTGAGTCCAATATTTCAGCTGGGTATAATTATGTTTAGTAAAAATCAGCATTTGAGGGAATTTTTGTAAAAATGTCTTTAAAAAAAATTTACTATGACATCACGATTCGACTTCACTGGCTACTTTGTGCTGCAACACTATAACACAATGAAATTTTTTCAACTCAATACAATATATTCACTCCCCCGTGTGGGTTCCGGGGCCCTATTGTGGGGAAAACAAGAACAGACCCACTGCCTCCCCAAAAGCATGTCGTAAGAGTCGACTAACTGGGGAGCTTCCTTTAAAGTCGGAGTGCATCTGCCTGAGAGGCAAGGAACCAGCAGTCTACATTTAATTGAATCAGATCTGTAAAACTGATGCACATGCAACACTTAGGTTCTGGAGCAGGACTGCAGTCCAGAAGTGGACGAACAACCAGAACTTTACGCCAGAGTGTACAGCTGGTGAACGCGAAGAAGAAGAAGAATATATTCACTTAATTACCCCCCCTCCTCCACCCTCAACCACAGATTTTATAAAAACTGAACAAGACTCCCATTTTCTTTTTTTCCCTCCTATTTCTGCAGTTTCTTAGGGTAAAGCAGCAGAGAGTTATAAAGGTGTATTTCTTTTCGTACCCGCTGTGTGAAATCATTTTTCTAAGAATTTTCTTAAGAATCCCAGATTGTGAGCCCTTTATTCCACAGGACTTCAGGATTGAAAAGGTTCGTGAACTGTCATGACATAAAAGTTGACGCTGGCATTGACCTTATTATCACTTGACACAATCTAAGATCTAATTCCCAGAGCCTTACACATTATCAGTAACTGAAGTACTCACTTCATATCACTGAGGAGTGACTTCGGACATAGGTCTCAACACAGGTAGCTCAATCCGCCCCTGGCTGCCTCGTCTGCGATGCGTCTTCTCATGGTTCTTTTCTTGCTGCTTTTCCGGGTCTGATCCAACATTTGACAAATCTGAATGGAATTAAAAGCAACAATACACCCTATTAGGTCACAGTCTGACATTAACTAACTATAAACTCAGACTTGTTACTTGATTCTCTAATAGCAATATTTATAGTCTTTGTCTCTTTACTAGGGTAATACAAGTTTTTCATCTTTGTTTTGTTTTGTTTAACTCTTTGTTGGCAACTGAGGAGCTGAGTGTCAAGAACCAACAACACAGCACTCAGGACATATTGATAAGCGCTCTGTCTCCACCTTCAGCAGCATGTGAAGAGTTCCAAGTCCGCTGGTACCAGCAGCAGTCTGATTGTATGCCACTTCTGCCTTTTCTCTTAGTGTGGAGCATCAGCCAGATCCCCTGGTTACTTCCCGTTGCACCATTCTTTTCTGATCGTGATAATCTAATTGTGCCTCCCCTCCCTAATAGCTACTGAGGAAAGGAGACAAAGCATGTGGGAATGTTCGAGTGCAATGATGACAATTCTTGACTCATTCATGCATATGAGTTACAGAAAGAATAATATAAAAGCAATGCTTGTATTCAGTGTCAGTCTTAATCTTTCTCTCTCCTATTTTGTATTTGTATTTTTTTTAAAGCATACTATGTATACTGCTATATGAACATAACATGCTTTAAGGATAAAAATGCAACTGCTGTGTAAAAAATGAGTGTTGGAAGGATCATATGTAAGATGGGCTCAATGTCTAATATGTGACCGATTAAGAAATTTACAAATAAAGTATATTCTTTCTTTCTTTTCTCTCTCACTCTCTCTCTTGCTTTCTCTTACAGGAAATCACTCTAGCCAGGTGGCTCGCACAACTGCTTGGTGACCTAGTATGACAACACAGTGTTGAAACTACCATTTCATTTTAAAACTTCATTTGATTTTTCCCAGGTTATCTCAGCCTAAACATATAGTTTAATCCTAATATGTCATAAGGCATGAAAATGTTAATCCCGCCCCCCATATATATATATATATATATATATAGTGTGACTTAATGCATTGTACAACAGTTTTTAAAAAAAAACACGCAGCTATTAACACAACTGACAACAGAGTAGCAATCTGCAACAGAGTAAATAAAAAGGCAACAAAAACCAAAAATACACCAACACAGTATGTGTTAGATCAGATCACTTCAGCATACACAGAATTAATACAATTTACAACAGTGTAATACAACAACAGTGTAATACAACAGTGTAATACAACAGTGTAATACAACAGTGTAATACAACAGTGTAATACAACAGTGTAATACAACAGTGTAATACAACAGTGTAATACAACAGTGTAATACAACAGTGTAATACAACAGTGTAATACAACAGTGTAATACAACAGTGTAATACAACAGTGTAATACAACAGTGTAATACAACAGTATAATTTTATAAAATAACTGTACAGTGTAATACAAACATACAATTCGTAATGCAATTTACAGGAGTGTGGTAAAAAAAAAAGGGAAAAGTAAAGGTCCCTTTTCCACGCCTTTAGGCGAATAGGCATATAGGGCTAGACCTATATTTGTATAGACCAATTGGCACAAGATAGGTGATGTGGTCAGCATCAGGAGAGCTGCCTTTACTTCCCAGGACTGCACCCAGTATCCACTCAAGGCTGGGTCTACCTGAGAGACAAAATCATTTTTTTAAAAAGTCCAGCTCCGAGAGGGAGCCAACCCACGACCTTCCGATCCGCACGCGAGTGTCTAGCTGCTATGCCACGGCCACTCCCACTGGAGTGTGATACAAACAATATATTAGAGCTTACAACAGTTGAATACACTTCTCATTCTCCTTGCTCTTTTTTTAACCAATCTCGCCAGCCATCACCAATTTCTCAATATTCTTCCCCACATCATGTTCCAAACAGCACTGGCTAAGTCTAATTTCTCCTGTTAGTTTACAGATTTAATCTGTCTAGAGGAGAAGTGCCAGACATTTATTTTCTTCTGATTTCATGATAATTTTTGTATCCTTTTTTTTTTGAAAACCACATCCCTGGTGAAGCTAACCTGGGCAAAAACAAACACCTGAAGAAGTGAGATGTGCTGGCCAAAATGCACAAATATTGCAGCCTTGCTGCAAACAGGCACAATAAAATTATGACATTTTTGAGTGTATGACACCCTGATGTTAAAGATATCTCTATTTTTTTTTTATTGTAGCAAAAAATTTGGAAAAAAAATATTTTAAATATATTCCGTATATAAGACAACTTCCAATTTTGAACTTTAAAAATTTGGGAAACATATCATTTTAAACACAGAAAAAAATCTGGTATGTCTTAAGATGAATGCAGAAGAAGAAAAGCCATATCTCTGTTGCAAACAGGTTTGGTCTGCATGTCTCCACGTTTTGGTCTCCCAGTCTGCATGCCTACCTACTGTCCATGTTTCACATAAAACAACACAGGTTCTATAGAATATAACATGATCAGGTTCAACCCTGCTGTAGACAGCTTCAGCTATAATTAAGGTCTGATTTTACTTGCACCAAGTAAAATTTCCTGATTGGTTTGTTGTGCCCATAGTTATGGCTTATTGTCCCTAACTGTGTGTGATTTTGAAAGCAGTTTCTTTCATTATTTTATACACAGATACAAACTGTCCTCAACTGATTTAAAACCATAAGCAATGCATTTGGTAAAACTGATCATGTAAGATGAATGCTCCTGTCCATTTTTACAATTACAATTTAAAAAAAAAATGTTCAAAATTTTTTTTTTAAAGAAACCTGAAAAATAGAAAAAGAGGTGCAAATATGATCTAGCCAGATAATGTGGCAAGACAAACAGAACTAACTGATCCATGATTCCAGTGAAGATGTGAGATGGCGAAAAACATGACAATCTATGCTTACCAGAATGACAATCTATGCTTACCACCAGAATGGCATTCTATGCTTACCAGAATAACAATCTATGCTTACCAGAATAGCACATGATGACAATGATGAAAACGAAAATACAAATTTACCTGACCCCCCCCCCCCCCCCCCCCCCCCCAACTCCCTACACACACAAAATTGATAAGAGCAATAAACAAGATAAGGCATTGATTACTGAAGCTTTCAATAACCACTATACGTTTTCTTCCTTATATGGTCATTTTACAGGTACAAAAGTAAAGCTAAGACTGGAAACCTTCTACACCACTGACAAATCAGGCAGTTGGTGCTAGACTCCTGTTTATAGACAAGCTGGCCCTGGGTGGGTGATGTGGTCACCATCACACCTACCATTTTACTTACCAGGACATTACCAGGTACCCAACTTAGGCTTGGTAGACCTGGAGGCCAAGGTAAATTATGAAAAAAATCTTCTACAATGCAGACTGGCTGACAAGTTTAGACATCTTTTGGATGTGCAGAAGGGTGCCCTGAAACCAGTACCGTTGCACTTCAATTCCCAAGATAACCAAGGTGTCCATGACATGGAGGTGACAGCCATTGAATCTAGCCAATCTAGCGACAGAAATCAGCAAGACTCTTGGAAAATCGTTCTATTTTCACTTTGGGCATGCTTAAGCCCAAAGGACTGAACTGCCAACACAGTTTCATCTAAATTTTCAAGTTACGGCCCCTGGCATTCTACTGTGTATTTCTCGGACCCCATGTTTTCTTCTCATTCCACTGGCAAGACATCAACGTGGCTGCTTCTGAACACCCAGTAAAGTGATCTTGTGTATTGTGATATGTTTGATTTATGTATGTGCTGATGAAGGCTCTATAGCTGCAACGTTTAGGTTTTGTTTGTGTTTATTATTCTGTGAAGCTCGCTGATCTACTTTTTTTCGGTTTTATATCTTTGTATAATGAAGAAAATAAGATGATGATTATCGATATACAACTGTCAAGCATATTTTTGTGGCTACTTTCCTGTGTTTATGTTTTTGTACTCCACCTCCAGGACTGAAATCTAAAGGTTTGACACCCAGTGAAATATTTATGTGTTGTCATCCACAGTAGTGACCTAATCCTTCACCATTATCCTAATATTAACCGTCACTTGTAAAGATTTAAAAAGAAAGAAAATGTGAGAATCAATAAACTAGCACTAAAGATTTATGAAGAGACACCGTCTCCCATGCCAGATAACAAGCTTAAGAAATAGATCTCAGCACCAGTTGGAGCAACAACAAAAAAGTCACAATGAAAAGTGTGCAGAAATAAACAATCAAACATCAAATTTCTCATTACAGTGTCTAGTGCAAGGGGTGATCTGGTAATCCTAGTTTCAGCTTCATAGCAAACGGGTCACCCCATAGTTGCTCCGCTCCTGTGCCAACAAAAAACATATGTAGCTCACAGTGTCCCGCCATGCACTCAAGGGGTTTCCAATGCATCATACTTGGCCTACTAATCAATAGGCAAGCTGTGAAAGGCAGCCCATGGGTGTCCATGTCATACTGCCTTTTATTTCAGAAATCACTGATGGTCAAATTTAAAGACTCAAAAGGAGACCATCAGTGATTTATGAATGAAAAATTGCCCCCAAACCTAAAAAAAAAGGTTGGCCACCACTTGTCTAGCGTTTACTCAGATATTTACTTTGTTCCTATACTTGTGTGAGTGGCAATCAATACCAATTAATTGATTTCTGCTGCTACTGAGACGGCAGCCATGGTAACACAGGAGCCACGGTAACACAGCAGCTAGATGCTTGCCTGAAGGTCTTGGATTCAAATCGAGTCAGATGTTCTTCAAAAGTGAGCTCAGCTCCCAGGTCTATGCTGTCTAAAAATAGGTACAATGTAAATCCTTGGAAATAAATAAGTGGCTGGGATGATACTGACCAAGAGACCCACTGAGTGCCGACTGGTCTATAAAATATGAATCTAGCATCATAGGCCTAATGCACTCTGGCTTGAACAGGTTCCTTCACTTGCTTTGCTAGTGGCATATACATGGTTAGTTGCACATTCTTTACAGGACGTTATAGAACCAACCTCAGCAAATTTTGTTTTTCTGTATGGTTTTACTAGGAGATTTTACAT